AAAATTGATTTTAGTTCTTTTTATAATAAATTATATTTATAATGAAAAATACCATTTAAAATATTAACTAATAATTTAAAAAAAAATATTTTTATTTATTAATTATTTTAATTATTTTTAATATTAATTTCAGATCCGGATCCGGATATCCGCGGATATCCTGATTTTTGGAAAGATTCCTAGATCCCGGAGGTCACGATTCCGGATCCGGATAGTTTTTTCACGGATCCGACGATTCCGGATCTGAATCCGGATACTCTGAAATTCCAGGATATCCGGAATTGTCCCACGCCTACAACAAACCAAACCAAAAAAATTAATTAAAATAGTTAAAAGTATTTAAATTCTGAATTACTATTGGTTAATATGTATTGAAAAATAGTTAATATTAAAAAGTAATGCATAATAACTTATAACTAATTATTTCTTAATTTGTGTGAAAAAACCAAAACATCAATAATTTCCTAGAAGGGAGGGAGCATGAATTTTTAGACTGACTTTTTGTTAAAAAAAAAAAAGAAACAAGATTTAGGATTTGAATCTCATACGTTACACCGACCCTAAAAGACCATAAAACAAACAAATAAATGCATACATAACTTTATAATTCGCCACTAGTATAACAATTACGTCGTCTAATTTTTAACGTTTTGGATTTTGTTTTCTAAAATATTTTCCTTATATATATATTAAAACAAAACAGCGACATAAAAACAAATGAAGAAAAAAAAATTGAAGACATGAAATAAATACTTGAAATACCACAATTTCTCTAACCATCAATGTTCAAGAAAACGTTAGGCGCTAAACGGACGGTGAACCGACGTCTAATGCCTAGAACACCTAATCGGATCATAAGAGATTTATTAGGCGATATAAACGTTTTACAAAAATACACAATATATTAGATATATATATATATAGTAAAAATATATAAAAAACATAATTTATAAAAAAATGAAATTTACATTGTAACTATATTCATCATTTTATAACAAAATATATAGAATTTTACGATTTATATATAAAAGAATTATATT